ATGTTACCAAAGAGTGACTTTCTATGATTTTCGTTAAGGGCCTTTCGCTGATGTTTCAGAGATGACTTATTTTCATAAAATATAAACATAAAATATATTTTGAAACTCAATTAAATTGTCTTTCTTTTACTTTCACCTTTCATATCACAGATAATATTATCAGTTTACGAACATTTTACGCAAGAATTTAAAGCACTATAAGTTTCAAGAGTCAGACTTTAGGAAGAGATATAAAAGTGTGGGGGGAGGTGAGTTACCTCTACATTCTATGCATTTTTGCATTTTTAAACATCATGCAGACGCATAAATATTTACAGTATAATAATTACCATTCATGGAATAACAATTTTTGAAACGTACACTTAGGTAGGAAAGTTCAACTGGCCAAGCAATCCAAGCGATAACTAAATACTTCATTTTCTACTACTTTACATTTTATTTTATATTTAAAGTTGCTTTGTCATTACGTTTTGCGATTATGTAAATATGTTCTATACTCTATTGACTAAATTATTATATCTTGTATGTAAATCTTAAGAATATTTATTTTTACGAATTTGTCGACGAAACTAGCATTTAACAATTTATTGTAAAAGCGAAGCGTGCAGTTTCCGCGAATGACATTACATTTTAGTGTTGCGATCGTGATGCTCCACTTTCATACTTCGTTTGTATCTTATATTTATCTTCTTACTAATGAACGTCAAGGATGATCATCTTGTGCCTCAAATTATTAATGACCCGCAAATTCTTCGTAGTTTAGTAACCGTGTATATTTAACCTGCGTGATCGTACCATATATTTTGAATGAATTCCAACTTATCGTAATATTTTCCATGATTCCTTATATCCATAGAGAACTCGTTCTGCTGATTGAGCTAATTTAAAACCTTGAAGAAAAGCATCGCTTATATTCTCGTTTCACATTTTCCTGAAGTATATTTAAGAACTACTTATCTTACATAAATTACGTTCACGTTGTCTGTTAGTTAGTTATTTTATAATCATGTATTTAATATTTACATTATGATAATGGCTAATGTATTTGTTAACAACTATTCGCTTTTTACCTCTATCATAGAATTTTGTTTCGTTGAATCCGAGTTTCAAAAGGTTAAGTGCAATTTTATGCATTTTGCGATGATCATCTTGAATACGATCAGAGTAGCGAAACCTACACAGAGATTTGTTTCATCCATTAAAATGTCATAGCCAGTACTATACTCCGGATACTTTGTACATTTCCGTTTATGATATATGTTCGGCGTATTTTTGTGCCTTTGAATTTTTCATAAATGCACGACTGTCAGAATCTAGTTAAATGTCAATAAACTTCCAATTTAGAGGACGTACGTGGAGTTTCGTTTATTACGCCAGAAACTGACAATATTTTAACATTTCCAATAAAACAAAAGAAGAGAGAACTTCGAGAACGTACCAAATGTTCATAGAATAGAATAAAATGTCTGAACAAGTCGCATCAAATATTCACCTCGGAGAGAATCGATCGAAAGCTCAACTTCCTTTTTCTTTTTTACACAATTTTCAGTATTTCCAAAACCACTTCGAAACCCTGAACGCTAGAAATTTGTAATTCTCTCGCACTCTGCTCGGTTCACCGTGTAAAACCCTGCAGGAGGAAAAGAAAAGACGAAAAAATCTTATTCAAACAACACTTGCACGAAACGAGGAATAATATTTTCACGTCCGTTTTAGCAACGATGTCGCGGAAAAAAGTGGAAAATCGACGAGGCAAACTTTCCGATAAGTGCAAACGATCTGACCTCCCGTTCAAATGTAAATCGCTTAATTACATGCCCGACAGCGTCGCAGTAAAATTCTGCCATTGATAAAAACTCGCTATTATCCAGCCAGGGGCACACGACTCAGGTATTCCCGTCCTAATTGCGCTAATCGATAACGCTAACAACGTTCGCGTATCCTTAGTCGCTCGAGACCCACGCGAAATAGCCCTGGATATCGTTCCTGTGGATCTTAATTTCGATTATTGAATAATGTCTTGGAGAAACGTCCATGCGGGATAAGGCGCTCGAAAGATAACGCGCAGCTTGAATTACGATCGTTAATTACGATACGACCACGTCACGCCTCGTGTGCACAGCAACAGCTGTCCGATCGCTTTTTCCTGGAAGCTCGAGAAAGAAAAGGGTTCGAAGGAACTACGAATTCTGAGGAAAATCTCCTTTTGGAGCTATTATACTGGTTTTCATGAACGTTCGTACAATTCTACTCTGTTATAAATATTACGTTATTATAATTTATATATAAATATACATACAGGGTGGTCCGATGAGAATTAGCTGTTGAATATTCTTTGAAATTGTTGCCTTTGGAAATATGAGAAATCTTTATTAACGAAAATTGTTCAGCATAGAACAGGCTATAATATGGCAGCAATAACTTTTTTGCGGCTAAAGTTGTTTAACAGTCTTTTAACTAAAATCGTACGTTCTTTTATGCATTAATCGATGCACTTCGATATTCGCTATAAAAAATTATTGACTTACTATTGGCATTGAAAAAATGAATTTTTTTCCATAATTACCTGGTTTCAGGTAACCATCCACGTAATCGTATAAAAAAATTCTATAGTAGTAACTTTTCTATTTACAAATTACCTTTGTATCAAAATTTACTTAACCATGTAATATAAGATAAATCGTAACGAAACTTGCGACAAATAGGATTGGATTAATAAACCTAGTTAAACTCTCTTTCTCCTTTGTTCTTTGAAATTTTATTCCGTCCCCTTTTATCCATTCATCTGCTATATTTCATACGCTCTCTCACCTTCGAATATTAATCGTGAAAATCAAATGGATTATTTTACGAACAAAGCAGCAAGGGTAGCAAAGTAAATTAACGAGGTATAAATTCGAGCGGATACAATAGCGCGTTGAAGCGACCTGAAACTTTCCACGCGAATTGAACGAACAGTTCTATTTGAAACTCCTTACGGAATTACTTTAAGCAAAGCAGAATCCAGATATCGAGCAAGAAACTCGTTTCACGGCCCTCAAATTAGTTTCACGACCAACGGCAAAACGAAATCAAAGATTTCGTTGCGTTCCCTCTAACAACCCATTAAAACCTGTGCATCGCGAACTTGCCAAAACTCCAATTAAAAACTACGCCAGTGTATCATCAATCACCGGTAATATTATAACGATCAAACTCGCGTAAAAAATTTCCAACTTCGCAAGTTGCGTCATTCTAGAAGTCTGCTGTTCGAACTATAGATCATATTATTTTATATATAAAATTAGAACAATTTGTAAAAGAAAAAAATAATTTCTTTTCCGTTATCTAATTCTCAACGATATTAATAAATAAATGTAACTGTAAGTGCACAAACAGAACGACAATCGACGTAAAATAATAATCGAAGAATAAGTAAAATTATCATTAATAAGTTTGTAATTAAAAATTCAAAGTGAAAAAAATAAATTGCGATTAATTCCACATTTAACCCTTTGCACTACGACATGCAAGTAGCTACGTTATATATAATTTGATAGCATGTGTTTCACTGACTCTTATTTTATCTTTTCTTCCCATTTTAGTTTAGTTTCTCAAGTTTATACTTCGATAATTACAAACGTTATTCGTAGAAAGTAAAATAGTTTGAAAATACTATATTATTTGTTGGAAAATTGGCACAACAAGGAAGAGTAAAATTCTTAGGAAATTAAAAGTAACTCGAAGAAAATACTCGATCATTTAGCGATGAAAACAATTCTCTTCTTTTACTATTCGGGTAATGGGAGTTAGGGGGTTTCAATTTCAAGGGACTTTAGTAAAATACTGTTTATTATATTGTTTGTTATTAAAAAAAAAAGATAGATTAAAATAGTTTTTGAACTGTGACATTCTGGTTATAAAATAGCACGATTTTATTAATTCCAGAATATAGATAGTTCACGTTTAGAGTCATTTCCTTGAAATATTTCGAAATTTCCAATTTTTTAGATGCCTCACGTTTCAAACATACCAACGATATGATAGTAGACAATTCGCAAATTTCACAGATAAATTTAGCGATAAAGTTCCACATAAAATGCCTCGAATGAAGCAATTATGTTTGAACAAATGTGACAAGGAAAGTTAAATCTATTTCAGCGGTGATTGTGAGAAGTATAAAACGCGAGATTTTATACCTTCAAAAGAATTCTTTTTAATAAAACTGTTTCCTACTGATTTGTTTTATTAACTTACCCAAGTGTTACATTAGATATGATTCACGAGTTCTAGAGAAAAATAGATAATTTTACCAATGTCATTTATCTAAAGCAAATTGAGATGACTATGAAAATTATGCTTTGTCCAACCAAGTATGTAAATTCTTCTATATTCGTGTAGTCAAACCTATTCGTACTCCCCTGCGTATATTCAGCGAATGTCACTCACACATTTATCATAACTTGTTCCCTTTTTCACTTTCATCGCTTTCAAATCTTACACGAACGAAGTTCAGAAATACCTCTCTATCCACACACGAGAATTCGTACACGCATTTTGTTAAATACATATTATCATTCAAACCATTATCGTAACGCTTCATTCTGTTATTTCATGTACCACATCAAAATATGCCCTTAAAAAATCCCAAAAGACGAGATATCTCTCAGCCATCCTCAAAAGTCTTTATACACCTTATATAAAAGCTATTTTTTTTTAAATAAAATACCAGAAAAATTCATTGCAATATTAATACATTTAATATAACGACAAACGACAAACTATAAGATTTATTTTATTCAATTATTTCTTTTTATTGAGACAATTTTAATCTCTGTAAAAAGATGGTTTTTTGCAACACATTGTTTATTCCTCCTTAGAAAATAAAATATACGTTAAATGTTATTATACCACATATAATTTACTTCGATAAAGATGTCCCTTTTGCGATAAAAATGTACCGAGACTTTTCCAGGCGACTGTATACTAATTGACACTAATTGCCAATGATAAAAACTTACCATTTTCTGATTTCGGTGGGACAGGTTCGATTTTCACGGAAGTGGTGGTAGCATGAAGAGAAGTTGAAACTTCGGCAACCTGACAAGGCACCGAAGCCAAAGGTTCCCTCTTTACCAAGTTGTTACCCCCATTATTATTGCCATTGCAGTTTGCATCCTGTCCGTTCCAAGACGAGGCGACTGGCAACGTTCTGCTGCAGCCTGCGTCGGAATGCACCGCCTTTGTCTTTCCTAAAATTTGTAAAACGAGTCGACTATAGTCGTATCTTCTCACTTTACATTTCAGAAAAAACTTTTGTATAAATATAAGAAGCTACATCGAGGAAAAAATGTATCACGAATATAAATTCTATCGTCGATACTCGTTCACGGTGATTCTACATGAAAAAATAGAAAAGACATGGAACAATATTCCTTCATTTGAAGTCGCGTTTCCGAGAATATCGAATTTGAAAATTTCTCAAGTTTGCGTGTATCGATATATCGAGCAACTTTTTGATTAAACGAGTCGAATGTCTTGGAAACGAAACCGTGAAAGAAAAAATGTTACGAACTTGATTTTCTTGGAAACGAGACGTCCTATGAAATGGATAATTTTACTCTATGTATCTCTCAATTATTTTTCCTCTATATTTTCACGTAATAATTTTATTCATTTTTTCACATGCAATCACCACTTTTTCTATTGTACCATAATTACTGGGACATTGTGTATAGCGATTACGATTATTTAAAACTGTATTACCCTCGCTGTTACGATAAATCTACTGTAAGTTGAAGTTGCATCATTTAAATAGAGATTTGTTTCATTTATTAAACGTTATCACGAGTATTCTACTTTCAGATACTTGCAGATTTTTTTACATATTATAACGTAGTTTGTACATTTTTCTTGTTTGAAACATCCGCAGTCCACTTATCACGAATCTTTCTACTCTGCTGACGACCATTTAAAATACATTTTGCTAATTCAATCTCTATCGAATTGAGAAATCTTGCAGGTAAAATGTCAGATTATAGATATTTCGCTGCTATGTTACAACCCTGCACTGATATACGCGTTAACGCTTACATCATTATATATTTAAGAAATATTTCTTTTAAGAAGTAATCTCACAACTTGCAGAGTAAAATTCAAATGGTCTTAACTACAATAGAACGAAAGGCACGTGATTTTATTTTTATTAATACTATTTATTAATATCAATTGAAAGTTTCACAACTCCTGAAACAGCCTTATAAAAACATCTGTTCAGAAACAAGTATTATATCGAATAATAAGTTCGTTGAACCGTCAGTGGTGTATCGAGGAAATATGAAAATATTAGTTCGAAAATTAATAATAATATCAAATATATTACAAAAATATGAAGCATATACAGAAAAATCCGAGGGGAGAAATGCTAGGATTTCAAATAGCTTTAACGAAATTAAATTTCTTCGCATTTAAAACAAAACGAAAACCATGTGCAATATTTCAAACTCGCATAAATTAACTGAGAAACATTTGCTGAATTAACAGAATTTTGTCTTTTGAAATCCATTTCTTTCGAACGATTAACTATACTAAATAAATAAAAGCAACTTTCGAATGTTCAAAGAAAACTTTTAGCTTTTAATTGAATTTTGAGAGAATTCTCTCCACAAGAAATTATTAAACAATTGAAAAAAAAAGTTATAATAAAAAAAAAATAAAGAGTTATACAGCGACGGAGTAAACAGACCATTTAATAAGTTTACGGGAAACAAAATAAACAAAATAATATATACATTCTTGATTGTGAATTTTTGATATCTAAAAATAATGATATTAAATGCTCTTTTAAGTAAATGCAAACGAACTTATTATTCAACCCAACGCATTACCTCCTATTAACGTCACCATTAATAACACATTTTATATCTTCCTATTAACACAACACAATAGATACTTAAACTGCGCGTTAACGTCCCCTCCCTGACTCCATTCACTTCGATTCAAACGCATCCATCCACGAATCAAAAAAAAAAAAAAAAAAAAAGAAAGAAGAAAAAGGAAAAAAAAAAAAAAA